GATTTTTAATTGTCGGGATTTTCGACTGTCGGGATTTTTTTGTCGGGATTATGACCTGTCGGGATTCTGTTTGTCGGATTTTGACCCGCACCCGAATAATCTTATCTCAAAATTCATAAATTTATAAATCGATGCGTTTAAATGAGCTATTAACGCATCTTCATGAATAGAAGTAAATTCAATAGAGTCAAACACCAGTTAGGATGTTTTGCAAGAATATCAGTGTAAAAAGTTTGTAAGGCTTTAAAATTGTTATCTTGAAACAGATAAAATAAATTTTAATCGAAAGCAAAGGTGTCTTGTTATCGATAAGATAGGACTGAATATATTCAACTAATTAAATTAAACTTGATTTGTTGGAAGATACTAAAAGATAGTAGATAGTTCAACATTTCTAATGAAATTGTATCACAATAAATACATCCAATTTAAAAAGATTTTAAATAGTAAATTTACTTTAATGTTGATTTAAGATCCAAATATGAAGTTCAATAAGCATGTTAGGTTCAAAAAATAGCCCAAGTTATTGAAGCATAAAACTTTCGAGATACATTTTGAAAATTGCGCCCCTAAAAATAATGCCTATGCATGTTCTAAAATAATGCGTATCTTATAGTAATGGGTGCTTATTTATATCAAATGTTCTGGAACTAGATTCACTTCGTATCAACCTAGCTCCAGAACATTTTTTGGTTTAGACAAGATGTTTAAAATTTTACATTTGTTTCAAAATAACGGCCATGCATGTACTCAAAATAAAGCACATATACTCAAAATAACTCACAGATGAGTGTTGTTCTGCAAAAATACAATAACTTCCTGTGATATATTAGCTGCCTAATATGAAAGTATCAGTGCAGCATTTTGTCTTAATTGGATATGAAGTATGAATTAATTGATTGATGATCATATTATTTTGATTTATTGTATGATTGGCAGCGTATAAAATCAATGTGCACAATGTGCTCAGTGCACATATTTGTTGTCAAGTTATATATAAAATTTTAACTTGTGTATATTGTGCACACTTTTATGCACATATTTTGTAACTTAGATTTTATACATTGATGATTGGAGTTATATATTTGTAGAATATTTTTTGATTTGTAATTATTAGGGCATATTAGTATAGTTACATAATTGTGTAGTATTTTTGATCTGGTGATCTTATAGTTAGTTGTAGTAATGACATAATTATGTTGTTAAAGTTTATTATAGTAGCAATGCCATTATATATTTTTTGTTTGTAATCATTATGGCATATTTAAAAGAAATAATAATTTTTTCTAAACATGATAATTTCTGTTTTTTTTTACTACCCAACTTTGTCTGGTTTTTTCATGCTAAAAATACCTTTACTTTTCTTGAGTTTGAACTTCTAAATAAACTTGAAATTTCTTTAGTCTTTATGTACAATAAGCTTAGTTTGTTACCTATTTTTATATAAAAATAATAACAAAAAAAATATTAAAACACTTTCATACATAACAAGTTATCTTTTGTCTCATTTTTGAATATATTATTTGTATATATTATTACTTAATAAGCCAGCTTTGTTCTATAGATTTTCTGATATGTAAATCTTAATATCAACTGTAAATAAGAAGTCAAACCCTGTCAATACATTAAATAAGTCTGTAGCCTGAATATGGCTCAAACAGGCTTGGAGTTAAACCTAAATCAACTATTAGTAGAAATATTGAGATTTGTTTGTTGTAAAATGGGCTTGACAGAAACAGGCCTAAAGCAAGAAATTGTATTTAGGTTACTGAAGAAGGGTCAAAACCAAACAAGTACAGAGAAGTCTACAGAGGAAGTTGGTATAACTAAAAAAGGAAAAGAAATGTATTTCCAATTTGTAAAATGCCAGAATGATTTATTATTAGAGCTGGAAGGTTTATAGTAAGTAGGTAATAGGTTGCAACACTTACTAGTTGAAGAAAATGTGATGATTGTTATGGTAAACAAGGCATAACTACCAAAGTTTTCTACTAAATTAAGTTTAGAAAAGAAAGCCTTTACTGTTAGATTAGAATTGGGACTATAGATCTTGGAGGATGTTGAGTATAAAAGTATGTGGACAAGGTGAGAGTTATCCAAGTAACATAATCAGTAAAAACTTTGCAAAAACTGACAATTTCGAGATATGCAATTATTTGCCAATAATAAGCAATATATAGTACATTATTAGTACTATGTTAACAAATTTAATAATTTATTTCATTATCAGCACTTTTAAATACCTAATAAATTGGCTAAATAATGGTAATTTTTTAGGCTTTAATTATTACTAAAATATTGATAATATTGCATTTTATTAGCATAATAATTAACAAATATATCTATAAGATTA